ACACAATTCTTCAACATTTCAATACTCCTTCATTGCATAATCATTCCTATTTTTCTTAGCTATTTGAGAGCCAATTCTTGAAGAAATTGTCGTGTTCTTGAGCGTTTACTAGTTCACTCATATCTACTCTTTGTGAGAGTTTCATTCCTGAGTGTTTAAGTGTTTTCATACACTTTAAGGGAGTTTGTTCCCTTGTTGTAAACTCGAAGGAAGTTTCTTGTTCCTTCGTGAGAAGTCTTGGAGTGCGGTATCTCCGAGTAAAGGTGTTGAGGCTCGTGTGACTCGGGTTCTCAAGTTGTATCGGTTTGTTAAGCACCCTTAAGCTTAACGGAGTTAGTGTAGCTCGAGAGAGTCTCTCGGGGGGCTGGATTAGCCACACGTTGTGGTGAACCACGATAAAATCCGGTGTGCTCCTTCTTTACGCTCTTTACTTTAACGCTCTCGTTTTAATTTCCTGCGATTTTGTTTTAAACGCTATTCACCCCTCCTCTAGCGTTGGGCCTTTATTCTAACAATCTCCCGATGCTTCAAGTCCGCATAAGATTTTTGCCGATCTGATGCTGTCTGCAAACGCTTGCGGATGAACCGTACCTTTTCTTCTGTCTCACGAACAAGCTTGGGACCTTCTAACCTCGCCTTGCTCAATTCAGTCCAGCACACTGGTGTTCTGCACCTCCTCCCGTACAGTGCCTCGTATGGGGCCATTTGAATACTCGCCTGATAACTATTATTATAAGCAAACTCCATCAACGGCAAGTATCGCTCCCAATTTTCCCCAAAGTCAATCACACATGCTCTCATCATGTCCTCAAGTATCTGTATCACACGCTCAGATTGACCGTCAGTCTAAGGGTGGAAGGTTATGCTCAAGTTTAACTTTGTACCCAAGGCTTGCTGGAGTCCCTTCCAGAACTTTGAAGTGAAACGGGGGTCTCTGTCGGAGATAATGGATACAGGTACCCCATGCAACCGAACAATTTCGCGGAGGTACAACTCTGCTAACTTCTGTAGTGACATATCCCGTCGCACAGGTAAAAAATGCACAGATTTCGTAAGACGATCCACGATGACCCATACAGCATCATTCTTACGGGGAGACAAGGGCAGCCCAATCACGAAATCCATCGTGATACGCTCCCACTTCCACTCAGGAATAGAAGGCGGATGCAACAATTCCGGTGGTACTTGATGTTCGGCTTTGACCTGCTGACATGTCAAGCATCGAGCTGTACACTCACAAATTTCCTTCTTCATCACAGGCCACCAATAGTTCCCCTTTAAGTCGTGGTACATCTTGTTACTTCCCGGATGTATAGTGTATGCTGACTCGTGAGCCTCACGTAACTGCCGCTCCCTCACGGCCCCGCATGGTACCCCAAGACAGTTGCGGAAAAACAAGATTCCATCAGCACCAACAGTAAACTATGGTCTCTTCCCACTAGAGACAAGGTCCCGTGTCATGCGACAGAACTCGTCGTCCTCCTGAGCATTCCGGATTTGCGTATCCAACGTTGGTTGTATATGGAGTTCAGCTATCAGCTTGCGGCTCAAGGCGTCAGCCACCACATTAGCCTTACCCGGGTGATACTCGATGGTGAAATCATAGTCCTTGAGAAGTTCTAACCACTGCCTCTGTCTCAGGTTCAGATCCTTTTGGTCAACAAATACCTCAAACTCTTATGATCGGTATATATAAGAATCTTTTCACCGAACACATAGTGTCGCCAGATTTTCAAGGCAAAAACAACTACTGCTAGCTCCAAATCATGAGTCGGATAATTACCCTCATGGGGTTTCAGCTGCCTCGAGGCATAGGCAACCACCCTACCTTCTTGCATGAGTACACAACCCAATCCACAAAAAGATGCATCACTGTAGATCGTGTACTCACGACCCGGTTCTGGCTTGATCAGCACCGAGACTTTAGTCAAGCACTCTTTCAGCCGATCAAAACTGCTCTGGCATGCGTCTGTCCATGCAAACCTCACATCCTTCCGTAGGAGTTTAGTAAGAGGGGAAGCAATCGCGGAGAAGTCTTTCACGAACCGCCGGTAGTACCCCGCCAGTCTGAGGAAACTTCTCACTTCCCTAGCATTACGGGGAACCTTCCAGTCAACTATGGCGGAAATCTTACTCGGGTCAACCTTCACCCCTTCAGCGGAGATCACGTGACCTAAGAAAGTTACCTCCTCAAGCCAAAACTCACACTTGGGCAACTTTGCATAGAGTTCCTGCTCCCTCAGGATGGTTAATACTTTTTGCAAGTGGAACGCATGTTCCTCGGCATTCTTTGAGTAAACGAGGATGTCATCGATGAAGACCACGACGAATTGATCCAAGTACGGCCGAAAGACACTATTCATTAGATCCATAAAGATAGCAAGAGCATTAGTGAGTCCAAAAGGCATTACGGTGAACTCATAATGTCTGTAACGCGTCCTGAAAGCTGTCTTCGGTATGTCTTCCTTCTTTACTGGAATCTGATGATATCCGGACCTTAAGTCAATCTTCGAGAACACCCTAGCTCCACGTAGCTGATCAAACAAATCATCAATGCGCGGTAATGGATAACGGTTTTTAACAGTCACCTTATTGAGCTGTCGGTAGTCAATGCAAAGCCTCATAGACCCATCCTTTTTTCGCACAAAAAGGACAGGTGCGCCCCAAGGGGAGACACTTGGGCGGATGAATCCCCTATCCAGCAGCTCCTGTAATTGCGCCTTTAACTCCTTCATCTCTGCTGGAGCCATGCGATAGGGGGTGGCCGAAATGGGTTCCGTACCAGGAACTAAGTCAATGGAGAATTCTACCTCCCTTGGGGGAGGCAGACCTGGTAGCTCGTCAGGAAACACATCAGGAAAATCACGTACGGAAGGAATATCCTTAAGGCTAGGTGGCTCCTTCCGTACATCTTTCACAGTGCATAGGAATGCCTCACACTTATTTCGGACCAATCTCTTGGCTTGCATATAAGAGATAAACTCAGGCGCCTTAGGAAATAACTCCCCATCGATCATGATTGTGTCTCCATCCGGTGCTCTCAACTGTACGGTCCTTGAACTGCAATCTACGACTGCCTGGTGCTCGGTAAGCCAATCCATTCTAAGGATAATGTCAAATTCCTTGTATGGAAGTTCAATAAGATCTGCGAGAAAGATCTTCCCACGCGCGGTCAAAGGGCATTGTCGGTAAACTTGATGTAGGCTCATACTGTGCCCAAGGGGATTGGACACCAGCACCGGACTCTCCAACTGACCTCTCGCGACAACAGAATTAGCAGGCAAAGGAACACATATATATGACAGTGTAGACCCAGGGTCAATCAATGCTAACAAATCCGAACCAAAGAGTGTAAACATAGCAAGTATGACGTCAGGATTAGGATCAGCACGCCCTTGCGTAGCGTATGTCCTCGCTGGAGCCCTGCCCTGCTGATGTGGTGCAGCCTAAGGCTGCCGCTGTTGCGGGGGTCGCTGTGGCTGTGACCCGGCCGTCGAACGCTGACTCTGGGCAGGTCGGGGAGCCGTCGTCTGAGTGGATGCTGCAGCCGTGGGGAACGGAAGACCAGGATTAGTAGGACAATCCCTCCTGTAATGCCCAGACTATCCGCATCCCATGCACAACCCTAAACTCCTCCAACACTCCCCTGGATGATTCCTCCCACAGGATTCACACATCGGATGCTTTGACGGCCTTGTCTTGCTGCTGGATGCCACTGAGTGAGCTGGTCCTGACTTGGCTTTCTTGGACGACTGAATACCAGACCCACTCAGAGGTCTCTTCCCCGAATAGGCCTTACCAGCACTGGCTACCTGAACCGGCATCTTGTTTGCCTTTTGCTCCACTACCAGCTTTGCTCCCTCTCGGGTCCTGACCACCTCCTTAGCCTGCTCATACATGACGCCAAAGTCTTGCCTAGACGCCGTAGACATACCCTCCTGGAGGTTCATGTGCATGCCCTTAACAAATCTATCGCATCGTCTCTTTGGAGTATTCACCAGATCTTGAGCAAACTCTGCCAGGTGATCAAAGAGCTGCCGGTATTCCGGAAGGCTCATGGTCCCCATCTCCAGGTGCATAAATTCCTCGCGTTTTTCCTCAACAAAAGACTCCGGAATGTACTCCTCCCTGAACACGCGATCGAAATACTCCCACGTCAACTGGGGAGGGTGGTCGACATTCCGTGTGGTGCGTTTCCACCACTCATACGCGTTGTTCTGCAGTAACATCACAGCAAGATCAGCCCACTCACCCACAGGGACCTTTAAGTTCTCGAACACGCAACGTACGCGCTCCAGCCACCAGAACGCTACCAACGGATCAGCGATGTTCTCCCCGAGGAACTCTTCAGCACCATTCTTCCTCAATCTCTCCAAAGTAATCCTTGGCTCGGGCTTCCTAGCCAATGCGTTCTGATTCATGATCAACATTTGTTGCATGAGCTGCATCAGGAGAGCAGGATCCATCTGCGGGATCCCAGCAAGTCCACCGTGCAGGGCTTCCTGATGAGGGGCATTCTGGTTCTGGTTCGCATTAAGTTGCTGGGGAGACACGCTATCTCCCTCGGAGTGGTTGTCGTTGAGGTTCACGTTCGGATCCATTCTACAATTTATGATTTTACTAAATTAAGCAACAATTAACAAACAAGGACTTAAGAAATTACCACCCGGAACAGTGACGCGGTGAAGTTGTGGATGCTCAACACATGTATATACAATATGTGTTAAAATAGTAGCTCCTTTTTTTCCAAAAATTCATAACATTATTCTTATTTTTTTTTGAAATTGATAACATTTTTTTATAAACAAAAGTAACGTTATACGTGAATTTATTTAAGTAAAGACCATTCGTGGCCCAAAAAAAAATCGTTTTTAAAACCACATGCTCCGATACCAAAATGTAACACCCCAACCCGCATAACCCGAACCAACGGGTTAGCGAACCGGGTTGTTACTAAATTGGTATTCCCATGCATAATTTATAAAAAAATAAATCAACTTAATAAATTATAAAATTCATCTGTGAGAGTTGGAAACCAAACCAAAATTTATCGGAGTAATAAAACAAGTCCAAACGTCGCGGAAGCATAATAAAAGCAAAGTAACATCCAACAGTCCATATAACCAAATAAAATAATGTAGTTTAATTATTTAAGTAATAGGAGTCATCCACGCTGCACCACCACGTCACTGCCCTCCGGGTTGCCCATCAAAATCTGTGTTCCTACCTGCGTGCAGTCAAACAACAACGACTACACGCTCAGCGAATTGCTGAGTGAAAATATACCTAAGCTAGCATTAACTCACAGAATAGCACCACGTTAGCATACAAATAACAACAGCATGTGATCGCGGAGAAAAATAGCTTAAATAAACATATTTATTTTAACACCTTTCATTTGAATATCATGTCCTTATTTTATTCCACATCAACTACTTTGAGTCATGGCACCCCAAGCGATGATATAAAAGGGCCAACTCATAAACCCAAAGGAGATTCACTTTGGGCGGGTTGAAGCCCCAGTCCCTGCGATGCCAGGACAGGTCGCGGACTTCCGTACGTACGTTTTTAACCCAAGACCCCCGGAGGTGCAACGACGCCCCACAAAGGCCACTTCCTAGCATATCTTATTGGTGATTCAATAAGTCAATCCAATTCAGGCCTGCCTAATTATACTAGGTGGCATAATTCTTATTTATCATTTATAATCCACAATATTCACCAACAAGATCAATTTAATTTAAATCTCAGTTCACAACTCACAACAAGTCACGTAGCGGCCTATCTAGGCCAAAGACCCGCGATTACCGTCATGCATAATCAAACAACCCGAATTGCAATTAACCCAACTTACCTGCGCGGAGTTGAGACCAAGGAATCGATCCTCAGGCCCGCTCCCCCGCCGGAGCAGTATCATTCACCACCGGATCAGCCGACAACCTGCCGGACCGACCCGGCAGCCCAAACTCGCTGCCCGTTCAGGCAGCCCCACTCAACCGGCCCAACCCTGCCGGCCCAATGGCCCAATGCAGCCGGCCTAATAGCCGGACCTACCGGCCCAACCCCCCGGACAGTCGGTCCCACGACTTGGTCAGCCCCAACTACCTTGACAGCCCCAATTGAATCTAAACCGACCCGTTTGCACAAAAACCAATCCCAATTGAAACCCGAATTAACCCGATTTAACCAATTAGATCCAAATCATACCAATTAGGTCCAAATCGGACCCGCCGGAAACTGCCAGTACGCCGACCAGCCTCCGTTCAACCACAAATTAACCCGATCTAATGCACATTCAACCACAAATTTCACAATCAAACACAAAATTGGTACCACAAGATCCTAAACTACGAATTAATGACAACTATAGGTATAGGAATCACGAATCACCTCGAATTATTGAAGAATTAGGAACCAAATCGAATGAGAGAAGCTCGCCGCTGCACTCCCTATTGCAGCCGAATCTACCGTGCGACGGGGAAGGGAGAGCGGCGATGCTGGCTAGGGCGTTCGGGGAGGGCGGCGTCGGCGGAGCTCGGCGACGCTGCTGCTGGCTGACGGAACGACGAAGGAGAAACGGACGCAGAGCACAGACACGAACGGGAAAAAAATGGATGGATGGTAAGTCTCCTAAACCCTTCATATTTAATATAAAATTAAATAGAATTTTAGGGTCCAGTTTACACTTCCTAACCAGTCAGGATGTATTTAAGCCCAATTACCTTATTCGGCATTCGTATCATAGGCCCAGCAAGTCCGATTCTCAATTCGTTCGTACGGTCGGGTTTAGAACAGCGAGCCCTACAACGTAGGTCAACTCTCATATTAAATACGCAAATTAGAAAATAATCTTCATTTTTACCGACTTAGTAACTAATTAATCATATAAATTAATAAAAAAATACGAAGCCAGGTTTTGAGGCGTTACAGCAGCTCATCTTCCCTGTCTTCTTCTCTTCTCCTCTTCTATATAAAGAACTCAATTCTCCCATTTCTTCACCATTCTCTCTATTTCTTCTTCCATTTTGTCCCTGAGAGTGTGGAGAGTAGAGTGGAGCTGTCCAGAGAGTTAGAGGTCGCCGGAGCTAGCCATAAACCTCGCCGGAAGTTTCGCCAGAATACCGTCAAAACCTCCTGTAACACCCGCCTTCCGTGGACCTGTTTCACCCGCGAGCCGACGGACCGGTAGGGTTACATGGGCGGTCCGAGAACCGTCCGTTACAAAAACATTGATGATTATTTAATAAGAAAACGGTTGTGTTTTGATTAGTGGAATAAATGCTAGGGAGTTAATCCCAAAACGTGTGTGATATAAATGCAGAGTAAAAGCGGAAGTAAATAAATAAGTCCAAAATGAGTAAAAAGACATATGGTGGGTTCATGCCCAAATGATTAATTAATTAAATGATTATAATTATTAGACTCGTCCGTGCACCGCCCATCTTCCCATCATCACTGTCCTCTAGGGTTAGTACCCGTACCGTCATGTCTACCTGCGTGTAGCAAAAACAATGACACGCTCAGCAAAAGCTGAGGAGTGAATCTAACAAAAGAACATGAAGTGATAACCCATGTGATTATACACGTGTTAATACCTGTACTTAACGTACGGAAAACCACATGTTTACTAACTGATTAATTTGCACTTGATGGGATATTATTACACATAACAAAATGATATACTACCACATTGAATATGGACATGATGGGAACATACATGATAATGACAACCACATTGAGTGTTGATGTGACATGAACATACATGATGACGATATGACCTGATGCATGACTTAGTCTCACTTGACAGGATCACCCCTGCACTCCGGTAATGAGCTGGGCTCAACAAAACGTCGCAAGTGAACTAGCAAAACTGGGTGGTAGCCGTAGCCTGACTACCATGTACGTACACAAAGCCCGCCTGATGGAAACCCGTTGGATCCCAAAGGTTCCTGGATGAACCCACTGTAGTAGGCGCATGAAAGCCTGACCTCCCTACAGCGGTATGCACATGATGATGACCCTAGGACATGCGTCTAGGATGAACATGATGAATTGAATGCATTGAATGAAGAAAGAAGTTAAATTTAATGCATACATATGGGTTTGATTACAATTTGTTCAACATGATGGCCTTAGGTTAAGAACTGGCTGATAATCGATTATCATGCTGTGCAGCTTCTGCCCCCAAAGTCCTGCAGACTGTGATAGTCGATTGTCACCCTATGACAATCGATTGCCAAGTTGGTTTGTTCAGGAAGTCCTAAGTTCAGAGAGCCCTGATAATCGATTATTGCCTATGTGATAATCGATTATCAGTGAAGCCAACTCAGATCCAAGAATCCGCAGGGCCTGATAGTCGATTATCACATATGTGATAATCGATTATCACGCTATGTTGAATCAACTGAGGAGTCCAGCGTGGCCTGATAGTCGATTGTACTATTCTGTAACTCGATTATCAAGGGACGCTGACTTCCATTAAATCTGTTTGTTTTTCATCAAAACGTTGGAAGTTTTAGAAACGAATGTTTATATTTCCATGCTAGATAACTGAATAACTTACAAGGTTTCAAAACATTTATATTAACGAGAACATAACTTGATAACATGGACACACGTATGTTGGATGGTTAACCTACGAACACGCATAGTTTCTACGTAGGTTGCGTACAATATTCCTATGAATATAACAACATAGATTATGACTTGATGTTCTAGAATTAGAGGAGACAACTACTCACCTCTAAATGATGTGTTGAAACTACGAATGGATGACGATGAACGAACAAATGAATGAACGGTTGAACGACGAACAACGTACGACTTCTCGTGTGATCTTCTCCTCTTCTACATCCCTATCTACTTGCCATAAAACCTTCTGGAGTTGCTAAGGCCTGGCCGAACATGCAAGGGGAGAGAAAGAGATGGGTGTTATGGTTTGGGGAGGTTACACATGATGAGAGAAATGAAAGGGAAGAGGAGTTTTATAACCATGAGGAGTTATAGGAGTTTATGAAGAAATTATGATGGGATATGAATGGGGGGTTATGGGAGATGAAGAGTGTGGCGTGGGAGAGGATATGATGGGGAGTTATCTCCCTAAAATTTTACTCCGTTGTGTAAAACCTGAGCTGAACGGTATGCGGTTTTTCCCCCGAACGGGTCCGAATTGAGATCCGTTTGTGTTTCCGGAATTAGACAGTCAAAACGAATTTAATGACATGTTCAAATAATTTTTTTCTAAGAACTTTATTTTCAAACTTCCGGGTCCAACCCAATCATTAATCAATTTAATTAATTAATGTTGAAAGGTCCATTAGTAAAACATGTTTTTATATTTTAAAACACATTAACTTTTGAAGTCCATCTAATGGGATCAAAATCTCAATATTTATTATTTAAAACAATGAATCTCAATAAATAAATAATATTTATTTATTTAAAACTAGGCCGGTTTGAGGGTGTTACACCTCCATTAAGCTTCGAGGTAAGCCCGTTGATATATCTAGTGACTAGAATGTTCGTATAGATCGTTTCTACGTTCATAAACGGTTGTTTGGTTGAGTGTTGTGTTTGACATGCTTGAAGAACCAAGAATCATAAACCATGAAATTGATGTTAAAACTATGAATTAATGATGCCAAAATGATCTATGAACCTTGGAGAACATCTCTATATAGTTTCGTTAAAGTTTGGTAACTAAAAACGGTATTTTCGAAATTGGACCCGAACAAAGATGATGATGAACAGTAACCAAAAACCAGACTGTCTGGATCGATCCAATGGCCTGGATCGATCCCCTGGGACTATTTTCTCTACATATGGATCGATCTAGAGGGCTGGATCGATCCCCCGAAAATTAGATCCGAAAATGCTATTTTTGAGCTCTAAAATCCTATTTTTGATACCAATTGATTACGATCATTATAAAAATGATTTACCACAATAAAAATGATGTTTTTGACAAATAAAAATGTTATCTGATGCATGACAGTAAGTTCGAGTGTTAACACTCGAACCTAGGCCGCTATTTGCTATCGAATGTTATGTTGATTGATGATTATGGTGAATGATTATGATGATTATGACTTGATGAAACCACTAATTATTGAGGATTAAATTATGAGTTGAAATGGATATTTTGATGATTATGAAATGATTTGGATTGTAAGGATATCTAGAAGAATTCTTAGATATACCTAGGTTGGTGTTGGTTTCTACGACTATCTATAAGACCTCTAAGATAGCTTAGAAAAAGGCCTTGCGGGTATAATTATGAATATTCGGTGGCTTGGGTTAAAACGTACGTAAGAGATCTACAAACCAAACTAGAGGAGCTCGTTTAGGGATACCACCCAACCCGACAGTGAGTATTCCGCTGTTCGGTTTTTGGATGACCTTAAGCGAAGGTAAGTTTAAGATTTTAAAAACCTCTTTTTGAAAATTTGTATCTTAAACTAGGCCTAGCTTAAGGGTTAGTTAAGTGTACCTTAAACTGGAATATAGTTTATCTATATTAAACTAGAATTCGTTTAAGAGTTGGTAAACATCAGACAGATTGGCCTTAGACTAAAAATAGTTCAAGGATATTGTTGAATGACAAATGATGAATATTGTATGACGAATGTTGAATAAAAATGTCGAATATGAATGATGAATATACATGTTAAATGATTGAATAATGAATGTTGAAAATTGAATGTTGATTATTGAATATCTGAACTAACATTATGTGCATGATATCAAATGATTTGATTATGAATTGAGATTCTGTTTATATGGATGTTTGACGCATTAGATATGCTTACTCAGCTTTACCGCTGAGCGTGTAGTATGTTTTGTTTGCTACACGCAGGTTAATAGAAAGAATGATGTGACGTGATTCTAGAGGCAGACGGAGGCGAGATTGTCGGAATGGATGTGATGGTTTTGAATTAAAGAACATAAATAAATTATGTTTGTAATTATGATTTGTTAAGCTTCCGCAATATTGAAAACTCTGCACTGTATATGTTACGAAAAATATTATCATGATAAATAAAAGTGTTTGAAAAGTTTTAAATTTTACGATTACCAAGTTAATATTTTAGTCCGAAAAGGGCTGCAGACTTGGACGGATTAGGGTGTTACAGATTCCGTTGTCAATAGTGTTGCAAATAAATTCCTTAGCTGCGCAGCAGAAGCCCAGTGACTTGCCTCCACGAATACGTCCATATATTCTCTATCATCGTCAAGCAATCCCAATGCATAACATGCATCACGGTATGATTCATGAACAATGTCATTTACAGTTTTGATATCATCGTAGCAGGTAGAGCCACGCACTATGTT